GTGTGTGTGTGTGTGTGTGTGTGTGTGAAAAACAGGCCTCCCGGAAGTTCCAGTAGGCCACACCCACAACGACCAGGCCCACCCAGCAACCAGTTCACTGCCCAGTTGCTGGGATTTTTGACTCCCACCCCGTAATCCATGTCACCCCACGACCCCCCCCCCCCCCCTTTGATTCTGTTCCGTCCTCAGATATTTCTACAAGCAGCTCCTGCTATGCTGTAGCCAGGATCCGGCCGCGTTTGAGCAGGGCATCTTTTGCCCGGTGGAAGGTGGGGAACTCCTAAGATTGAAGCCCCGGTGCTACCTACATCTCTACCTGAGCCAAATGCCGCACGGAGCAATGAAAAAACTCCAGTGAGTGTCCCGGGAAGGCTGGGGTAGGGTCCAGAGCGGGTGAATGATGGAAAAGGGGGATTGGATCGGACCAAGGTTTGGCGTTGATGTTGCCAGGATCTACAAGGTTCCTCCTCCAGGTTTTAGAAGATACGATAGAAACCGAATCTGGGACTTTGATTCTCACTAAAACTGGAGGTGAATGTCAGCCAGCCTTTCTCAGCCTTGGACACCTTTAAGGCGAGTGGACTTCAACTCCCAGAATTCCCCACCCAGCACGGCTGTTAAGCGCGTCTGGCTTTCCCCCATTGACTTTGCTGGTTAGAAGGTTGCAATGACACTGCAGTTGTCATAAACCGCATAAGTGCAGGTGACTGTGGGGATGCTCTAATGGTCGTTAAGTTATATCTTTTTTTTTAGTGCTGTCGTAACTTTGAACGCTCTCTAAACAAATGGTTGTAAGTGGAGGGCTTCCTGCATTTAGATCTCTGGCCATGTTGCCTGTGGTTGTTGTGGCCGTTGATGGAGCTGGCAGCAGAGTCAGGCGGTAGCAAGGAGATTGGGGAGGAACCTGGACCGGTCTTGGAGGCTGAGGAGGGCTCGGATGAGGGCTCTGCATCGGAGGCAGGGATGGGGCCAGGACAGGCTGGCAGTCGGCAGCTGCCTTTGGGTTCGGACAGCAGTGAGGCGGGGGAGCTTCTGGAACCGGTTCCCAACCTCCGCATGCGCAGGGCTACCAGAAGACGAGAACGATTGAGAAAGCAGGGTTGACTCAGGAGTAAGGCCACGCCTCAGAGATGATTGGCCCCTCCCACAGGACATAAAAGAGGAGTGAACGGGACAGGAGCTTTTGCAGGAAGCAATTAGTTCATCCGGTCGGTTCAAGCTTTGAAAAGTTCGGTTCGACTGTGCGTCAACTTTGGCAATTAGCTCTCTGGTGGGTGTTTATGAACATCCTCCGGAAAGACTGTTTGCAAAGCCTTGTAGGCTGTGAATGAAAGTAATTCACAGCTGTGGAGATAAAAGAGGTTTTGCTGGAACTTAGATTGTGTTCCATGCATTCCAAAGAAGCCTTGGTCAGGACACTGGCTCTCCGACCGGCATCCTTCCGGGAGTGGGATCCTACCGGTTCGGACCGGTTTGAACAAACCGGATGTTAAAGTTACAGCTGGTTCGTCAAACCGGTATTTCAACCAACTGGCTGGCCCTGCCCCCCCCTCCCCCCCAGGAGTCTCCACGCGGCCTATTTTCAGTGGAGATAAGTGCGGGGTCTGCGTGGAGGCTCTGGGAGGGAGAAAGACGGGCCTGGTGGAAATCCAGAAACAGGCCTGTTTTCATCTTCCAGTGGGCCCCCAGAGCCCAGAGGAGGCCGTTTTCGCCCTCCCAGAGGCCCGGGGAAGGCCTCTGGATCCTGGAGAGTGCGAAAACGGCCTCCCCCAGGCTCTGGAGGCCCACCCGGAGCCAGAAACAGGAAATCCCAGTAGGCCACCTGCCAACTGGGCAGTGAACCAGTTCCTGGGATTTTTGAATCCCACTCCTGCATCCTTCCCGTGTCCAAACGGCATTGTTGGCATGAACGATGTGTCGGTTGGAACCGTTCCAGCAAGATCAGAATTTGTGGGGTGGGGGGTTGGGACATTTTTGCCGCTCCAATATTGCCTGCTCTGACCTCCCCCTTCGGCCTTTGCTTCCTCCCAGCACCCCTTTGCTGAAGTCCAACCCTTCGGTCGATCTGCACGTCAGCATCAAAGGGCGGCTCAAGCCCGTCTCGCATTGCAGCCCTACCATGCTGTCCACCCACGTCTACTGTGCCTCCGGCAGTGACAAGCTGACCCGCTGGACCGTCCTGGGAGTCCAAGGGGCCCTGCTCAGCCACTTCCTGCATCCCGTGTACATCACCAGCATTGTCCTAGGTGATTATCGGATTAAGTTGGGCCGTGGTTGTAAGTCAAGGACCGTACGAGGTTGCCATGACGTGTGTTTTCTTTCTCTTTTTTGGTGTATAAATTTTTTATTTGGTATTTACAACAAATCCATCTTTCATTTAAACAGTGTGTCGACTGGATAAGTATATCTTGTGCAAACAGTTGTAATTAACATACATTCCTTAACTAAAATACCAATAATTACATTTTCTTTAAAAACCATTATCCCATATTTTGTCATTATAACAATCTGAATGTCAACTCATAAAATATTTCTATGGTCTTTTTTAGAGTTGCCAACAGACAGTGTGCAGCTTGCATTCCATAAATGTTTTCAAAGATAGTTTCTAGATGACTGAAGTTTCTGCTGTGCAAAATTCTAGCTGGGGAGCATGATTGGTGACTCTGGGCTATGGAGGTGTCCCATTGGAGGATATGAATTACGATACACCCAGGGGGTGGGGGAAAACCAGGGTCAAGGGTGACAATGAATTATGTGTCTGGGAGTTGGTTGCACCCAGGCAGCGCCGGACATGTTTATTCCTAATAAATCATATTTAAGTTTTGGAAGTTCGGCTCGAGACTCATATTTAAAAGGGGGTAGTCCTGACACTTAACTTATTTCTGCTGGAGTCCTGACACTTAACTTATTTCACTATATATTCATCTACTCAATTTTAACTTATTTCTTATTTTCCAACCATTGATAAAATAGATCCCATACCATAGAGGATTCAGTTTCTTCTTTTTCTTTAATTGCTAATGTTAATCTATTAATTTCTGCACATTCCAATATTTTCTTAATCACATTTTCCTCTGCTGGAATTTTTGAGCAAATATAATTCTAGCTGCAGTTAATATATGAAGAATTACATATACCTTTTCTTTACTATAACTTTCAGGTACCATCCCTAGAAGAAGTATTTCGGGTTTTAGATCTACATGTTGCTTTATCGTCTTTTCCAACCACGTGTGTACTTTTGTCCAATATCTTTTTATCTTCTACACATATCCCACCACATGTGGTAGTATGAGCCAGGTGTCACGTGGCACTTAGCTGATAAACATGTTTGCCAATTTTGCTGGTGCCAAGAACCATCTATAAAACAGCTTATACAAATTTTCTTTGTATGCTCTTGGTATTGATAATGTATAGTTTCTATTCCCTGGCTTCTGCCACTTATCTAATTCTACGGCATAGGCCGAAATTTTCTCCCGCGCTATTTGTGTTTGCTTTCTCTTGTCGCTTTCGGACTTCTCCATTTTCAGCTGACTCTTATCACAACCACGACATTCTCTATTGGGTCCTCAACGAGCATTTGCACCTGGGACCGGAAGAGGGCTTCCCCGAACCGTACGGTCACAAGAAGATCTACCTCTTCGAAGGGCCCCCCGTGACCCCCTTCAACTCCCCGACAGAATGCGGCGCGCTGAGCCTGAACTGGTGCGCAGGAGACGAGATGCTGGAATGTGTGAACGGAGCTGTCGGGAAGGCCGAAAGGGAGTGAGTGGAGGGGGCTGGGGGCTGGGGGGGGAGGCAGTGGGGACCGGGCTGGGGGGAGACCCAAGACCGGTTTGTCCTAGCGGGGTGGCTGAATTTGATTTAGGGTGATTGATTAGGATTGTGGAGATGAATTTGGGGGAGGGGAGGTGGGATTGGTTGGAGACTGATTTGGGATTGACGAGATTGATTTGGGATTGATGAGATTGATTTGGGATTGACAAAACTGATTTG